GGGCGCCTGGGTTCGCGCTCCCGCTCTGGGGGCTGCGCTCGCCGCCCCTTCCGTAGCCTGCGGTCCCCAAGTTTTTCGGGGCGAGGGCTGCCGCCCCTTCCCTGCCAGGGCCCTTCTGCGTCTTCCTTCTTAATGGCTCTGTGTAGCGCAGCTTCTGCCTGTGAACTTCATACTCGGGCGAGTTTCTAAATAGCAAACACGGACCCAGTCACCTACTCGGAGATAGCGATAGGCAAACTTCGGGCCCAGGGCAACTGCTTAGGCATAGATGCGGGGGTACCGCAACGGAGTGGTGACGCGCCCCCGGCCTAGGAATTGGTGGCTGGAGTGACAGGGATGACTGTAGGTGGGCAGATTCATGAGGGAGCACACCACCATACTAGTCGTGGCTAAGATTTGCCCCCCACCCCCGCCTTTCTTCCAGGAGCGAGCTTTTTGCCTTACAACGGCCCATGCTGGGTTTCTCCTCGTCTAATTATTGCGATGTGTAATCGTTTTTCCTTGGCTTCTCAACGAAATTGAGGTAAGAGAGGGTAGCAGAGCACCCAGACTCCTTGACCTCTCAAATCGTTGCCTCCTCCCTCTGGTGGTAGAGTTTGGTGCTTATGGACAGGTTAGGAGTAAAGAAATATATTTCATTTCTCCTATTGTTTTAGCACCCAGAACCACCCACAACCCACTTTGGTGAAGCCGTGGCAGAAATTAAGAAGGAAAACGTCGTCATTGTGAGTCATTTGACAGCGGTTTTCTGTTTTAATAGACTTGGTGCAATAAATAGTAAGGTGTTCTTCCTGTGGGGTTTGCCTCTTGGGTGCCTTGTTGGGGAAGAACTAATTGCTCAGGGGGCAACTATCCCCAGAGTCAAACTGGGGGCTGCCAGGAAGGCCCTGGGAGCCGCTTGGACTTTTACAACATTGATTAGTACTGGCTAGAGTTCTCAAATAAGAGTATTTTACCTTTAACAATCATTTCTGCTTTCTCAGCCTATAGAAATATTACCCCTTTTCTGTCAGAGTATTAAAACTCTTGACTTTTCTGTTGTCGAAAGGTTGAGGAAGAGAGAGTATTTTTCATGTGTTTGTCTTCTAATTCTGGCATTTCTCCAAGGCGCCCTGGTGGCACTTGGGATAAACATTGGGCAACTAACCACAAAGCTAGTGGTTTCAAACCCATAGCTGCTCTGAGGGAGAAGACTGAGACTGTTGCTTAATGATGGACAGCCTGATAAACCCTACGAAGAGATTACTTTGAGTTGGAATCCACTCAATGACCGTGGGTTTGGGTTTTGTTTGGCACTTCTTAAGCCTAGTATGTTGATCAGATAAAACCATTCAGGGGCTTTCCATAATTCAAGGAAGTTGGTAAATGTTATTTTGGGGGGCACTCCTTGGTTACTGTTCTGTGAAAAAGGATACAGCTAGTTGTGATGGGCAATAGTTTTTGCCAAAGTACTAAAAAGCAAGCAAGCCCACTGCCTGTGAGTCTATTCTGATTCATTGTGACCCTTCAGGATAGAGCCCCTGTGGATTGACAAGTCTGTAAATCTTCAAGGGGGTAGAAGGCCTCGCATAGAGTGGCTGGTGGGTTTGAACTTGCAACCTTGCGATTAGCAGCCTAAACCTGCAATGCCATCTGAGCTCCAAAGTAGTGCCGAACATAAGTGCCAAATGGTCAGAAGAATGCTAACTGAAAGCTGTTAGATATTTGCTGAATTGGCTCATTGAGATGACTATGGGAGGGCCATAGTTTTAGGACAGGAAGTCATAATAAATATTCTTTAAAGATGAGTCCCTGGGTTCTACAAACACTGCATTTATCTGTTTACTAAAGGTTAGATGTTTGAGGTACCCAGAGGCTCTTGAGAAGAAAAAAACCTGATGATCTCTAAATGGGCTTCAAAACATTGGTGGGAAAATGGAATTAAAAGTTAAAGAACTATTTCCATTTCCAACATTTTGAAGCTCCTTTGTATTTGTGAAAAATACGGCCATCGAAGACCCATGGAGCACAGCTCTACTCTGACATAACGTGGGGGTGCTCTAAGTACAGTCAACTCCATGGCAACAGTTTTCTGTGCTGTACAAAGTGCAGGGGCATTGATTATTTTAATTGCTGTCAATACATTGTACATCCATAACACGTTAAGTAAGTAAAACTTGTGTGGTAGATAAGGGGGGATGGGTGGAGGGGGAAACCACAACTACAGCTGCTGAGGCTATTTATGTACAACCAGAAACCTCGTAGGATTGTTTTCTTGCTTTGGGAGGGTTAGAGTCACCGCTTATTGGCCTAGTAACGAGTTTAATGCTTCTGTTCTACCACCTAGTTAGTTGTATAATACCGGGGGTCTTAAAAGCCTGGAAGTGACCTTCACAAGCACAACAATTAGTCTCTCTTTGGAGTAACATAGGGAGGAGGAGTCAGGAATAAAAAGAAGGAAAATGTGGAACATGTGGCTAATTACCTCCAAGAACAATTAGCTGTGCCCTTTGCTGTGAGACCAGAAAGCACTGGATGGTATCTGGCTACCATTACTGAACATTTTGATCCAAGATTCTATAGTAGAGTCCTGACCAAAAACAGGCAAGCAATTTCAAATTCTCATGGACCCCAGACTTCGCATAGGTTCAATGAACCCCTGAAGTTTTTGCCCTGAGATAGCTTTTAAACCCTAAACCCAAATGTCCTTTAAAGTCTTTTTAACCAAAACCAAACTGTAGTTTCACTTAGCTAGTAAAAGTTGATGGTGAGAATTAAGTGCTTTTAAGAATTATATGGAAGGAAAAGAAAGAAAGAACTATGTATATAGATCAGAGTTACAGCAGCAACTTGAAAGATTAAATGGGAACCTTGCCAGTGAATATATGTCAGTGGGGAGGAACAATCCAAACACAGGGTAGAATGGTTGTACAACTCAAAGGATGTAATCAGTGTTACAAAAGGTCCGTGTAGAAACTGGTGAATTGGTATATGTTTTACTGTGCATTATTTCAACAATAACTAAAAATTTTAAACTACAGGTATTGTTTTATACTAGGGGGGTTCAAAAAGTAAATGAAATATTCCATTATATTTTAATTCCATTTCTCCACAAATGCCTTGAAACTCCTTGTTATTTTCCATAATACACCCCTGCAAGGTAATCATGATTGATATTTTTTAGAACATTTTAAATGCATGGCGACACTGGTAAGCATTGGCTAGGTATCCTCAAGGTCAGCAATTCAAACCCATCGGCAGCTCTACAAGAGATACAGTCTCGGAAACCTTAGGAAGGGTGGTTATGAATCAGAATTGACACAGTGGCAGTGGATTTGTTTGAACCTGCCGACACAATTCTGAGTATTTTAACATGTATTAAATCATTTAGTTGAAACACCTCAACAAGGTGGATAGTATAACATTTCACAGAAATAGGAAATATACAAATGCAAACGTGGCATGTAAGGCGAACCTAGAGAGCATTATTTTAATTGAAACTTTAGCTTTAATGAGGTGTTTATTGAAATTAGGGCTGTTCAGTTGTGATGAGAAGAAATTACCCATCAAAAGCACCTTGGGTTTATTAGTGTCTCCATAATGTCTTCCCCTTGTCCTTATTGGTACCCTATGTATCTAGTAGTTCTCTATTTATAAACTCCTCTTCTATCCTCAAAGCTCCCTTGGCTGTTTTTAGCTATTGCTTTTTTGTTGCTGCTTGTTAAAGTAAACAACCCAATGGGATTTGACTTCTTGGTTTTCATGGAATATCTTAGTTAATTGACCCAATATCCTGTTTATTATTTCTGTGCTACCTCCTACTTCTTTGCATAGTGACTGGGGTCTTAAAAGCTTGCACACGACCATCCAAAGCATAAAACTTGGTTGCGTTTTTTTTCCCTTGTAATCATTTTATTAGGGGCTCATACAACTCTCATCACAATCCATACATACATCAATTGTGTAAAGCACATTTGTACGTTCATTGCCCTCATCATTCTCAAAACATTTGCTCTCCACTTAAGCCCCTGGCATCAGCTCCTCATTTCCCCCCCTCCTGCCCTGCTCCCCCCTCCCTCATGAACCCTTGATAATTTATAAATTATTATTTTGCCATATCTTACACTGTCCCACATCTCCCGTCACCCACTTTTCTGTTGTCCGTCCCCCAGGGAGGGGGTTATATGTAGATCCTTGTAATCGGTTCCCCCTTTCCACCCCACCCTCCTTCTACCCTCCTGGTATCCCCACTCTCAGCACTGGTCCTGAAGGCATCATCCGTCCTGAATTCCCTGTGTTTCCAGTTCCTCTCTGTACTAGTGTACATCCTCTGGTCTAGCCAGATTTGTAAGGTAGAATTGGAATCATGATAGTGAGGGGAGTGGGGAAGAAGCATGTAGGAACTAGAGGAAAGTTGTGTTTCATCGTTGCTACACTGCACCCTAACTGGCTCATCTCTTCCCTGCGACCCTTCCGTAAGGGGATATCCAATTGCCTAAAGATGGGCTTTGGGTCTCCACCCCACACTCCCCCTCATTCACAATGATATGAATTTTTGTTCTGATGGTGCCTGATACCTCATCCCTTCGACACCTCATGATCACACAAGCTGGTGTGCTGCTTCCATGTGGGCTTTGTTGCTTCACAGCTAGATGGCCACTTGTTTACCTTCAAGCCTTTAAGACCCCAGACACTATATCTTTTGATAGCTGGGCACCATCAGCTAACTTGGTTGCGTTTTATCTTGAGCAACACAGGAAAGAAGGTCGGGAATCAAAGGAGGAAATGAAATGTATGGCTAATTGCATGAACCACTACTTCCTTTGCCCGAACTGGGTGATTCCTCAGCTACCATTTCTGAAAATTTTGATTAAAGGTTCTTTAGAGGTATCCTTATTGAATGGGGGGAAATGTAAAATATAATTTCACATTTTTATGGAACCTAAAAATTTCTAGAGCCATAGTGGAGTGGCTTTTGCTATGAAGTAATCTTTTAAACCTTCAACCAAAAACATCCTTTAAAATGTTTTTTAACCAAATGATAATTTAACTCACTTTGTAAGTAATATCTGCCCTAAGCATTGTGTTTTTTTTTAGATTGCTACATAAATAAAAATATATTTAAATTTTAATCTATTTTTCAAATTTTTAAATTTTAATTATTTTAATCGTTTTATAGCATTGTGTTGTGTTCTTTTAAATAATTCCATAGGGATTCAAATTGACAACAGCTTGAAATGTTAAGCTTCAGGGCCAATGGGGCGAACATTTGGAGAGAGAGCATGATTGATTGTACAACTTGAATGAAATTGATATCACTGAATTATACATGTAGAAATTGTTGCGATAGTTGTATTTCTACTGTGTATATTTCTCATAATAAAAAAATTAAGATAAAAAATAGACTGAAAATACATATTGTCATTAAATTTGGGTCTTAAGCTACTGCTGTTTGATAGAATTATATTGTTAGTTTTCTAATTAAAAATAAGGCAGGTATATTTTTACTGTAAAGAGTAAGTTAAATTTACTATGAATTGAGTAGATTTTTAAAGGATTGTTAAAAATTGAATAATTCATTTCCATCACACTGAAAAAAAAAAATCAAATAGTTAAGTAGAAAAAAACACAAAGAGCTTCAGTTCTTTTTTTCCTAAAAGATAACATGACAAAAGAGTAGAAGATTTGTATTTATTTTGTCTCATTGCAGTAAAATACGAAAATCATTTTGAGTGTTCTTTTCTCTGTCTCTTACAGGCTCTTTGGCATGGATAAATGGTCAGAGGGAGGAATAAAATGGACTGAACAGACTATGGCAGCCAGTCTCACGGAAGCAGGAACTGCATTTGGTGATCAAGCTAGACCTAGAAACCCTTCAGAAGGAGATGATGATGATGATGATGATGTTGTATTTATTGATTCCATACAACCTCCCTCAGTTTCTGCCCCAGTCATAGCTCATCAAAGAAGCCTGTTTACATCATCACAAAGGGAAAAGCTGCAAGAAAACAGTTCTGTAATTCTTCCTCCTTCAAGCGATTTGACTTCGCAAAAAAGAAATATAAGTGAGACCATCGTTATTGATGATGAAGACGATATAGAAGCAGATATTGGTCAAATGAAAAATTCTTCCACTTGTATTGAATGGGGACTTCCTGGAATGAAAAACAGAACCAAAGATTTGGATTTCTCTACTTCCGGTCTTTCAAGAAGTAAGGTAAATGCAGAAATGGGTAATAGTGTTATCACTTCAGAATCAACTCAAATTCCTATTACTAATGTTACAACCTTAGAAACTTAGGTGTAAGGTCTCAGAGTACTGGGAGAGATGTGAACTTAATGGTTATACAGATGGCATCACTCTAAAATACCAACTTGAGAGGTGTCGCTAACGGACTCCAGTCAAGTAATTCTGGTGTTAATGTACAAACATACACCCCATCTTTAACTTCACAGACCAAGACTGGACTGGGACACTTTAATCCCGGTAGAGTGAATGTGGCAGGAGGCCTGTTTCAGAATGGAGGATTTGCAACTCACCATAGTCCTGGTAAGTGTCTAGTGAGACAATATTTTCATTCTTCCCCAAATCTGAAAATGTTTAGATGTTCTTTTTTAGTAATCTTATCTATTTTATTTATGTTCTGTTGCAGAATAAGCTTTCATGTTAGAGTAGGATACAGTGCTTAATAAAACTGCAGTCTTACTTTGACAGCAAAAGTGTTTTAGTTGAAAAGACCCATACTACTGTCACTGTCTTTTATTAGTATCTCTTTATTTTACTAAACATTCGTAGAGAAAGGGAAATGGATAATGAATTTAAGGGACAAAGTAACACTCTACTAATTGAATGAGTTATATATAGTTACATGACTTTAACTTTAGATTATGGTTCTTAAGTGTCTGCTTTGGGCCTGCTTGTTTCTTCAGCTCTAAAACTGGAAAATGTTCTTGGCTTTACACCAAGGACCTGTAATTTTTACAACACTTAATGTTGAGAGTCTTAATAAAATTAACATATACTGGAGATAGATAGCATTTATCTTGTGGAACTTTTATGACTTGCAGGCTTGATGTATTATTATTTTAGTGCTTTTAGAGGACTGAATTTAGAGGACTGGAAAGTAATCAGAGCCTAAGAACCTAATCACTGTTAATGCGTTAGTGGAATTCAGGTAAAAGTTTCTTGTTTCTGTTTTCCTCTTTACCGATTAGCTGGCTAATACACACAGTTAAGTGAACAACTACCCAGAGAGACCTTAGAAGGAAAGCTTTGCATTCTATTTCCAAAATTTCACACTCATTGAAAACTATTGCTGAGTTAAAATCAATTCTAAGGCAGCTTGTTGTGTTTTTCCCTCTTATGAAAATGCTACATAATTACAAGATATTTGGGGAAATTGTACTTGGAGATAAGAAAAGACTATGTCACCTTAACTGTGCTCACAGAAGTTTTTAAAAAAATCCAAACTACTGCCATTGAGTCAATGCTGACTCATGGCCACCCTCTGTGGGTTTCTGAGACTGTAACTGTTTACGGGAGTAGAAAGCCCAGGCTTTCTCCTGCAGAGTGGCTGGTGGTTTCAAACTACTGACCATTTGGATTGCAGCCCATCATACAACCACTGCATCACCAGGGCTCCTAAAAGTTACCCATGTTAAAAGTTTGGTTTGCTTGCTTTTTAGTCTGTGTCTTTCTTTTTTAATATAATAGAATGTAATTGAGATGGTATATGAAGGGGTTTCAAAATTTTGTGGGAAAACTCCATTATCTTTGTATTCCATTTTCCCACAAACTTTTTGAAGCTCCATTGCATATATAGTTTTGTATCCTATTGATTACCCTTTTCAAATGTAAGTTTTACTGGCTGTAAATGGAGCATGTAGGGTGGTACCTTCCTGTCCTTGTGGGTTTCCAAGCTGTAAGTCTTTGCCTTGTGTTAGCATTCTAACATGTAACCTGCTAGGCTGCCAGAGCTCCTTCCTTAAGGATAGGAGTATTGTATAATAATTGCTAAGTTGAAAAATGGTATTTAGCTTGTAAATTATTGAATTCTAAGTATATATTTGGTTATTTTTTATGAGTTTCCTCATTCATATCTGTCATGTATCTCTTACTATAGTCATCTATTTATGGATTATAAGTTAAATCTGAGATATAATGCCATTAAAAAAACACAAAAATTTTTGTGTGTGGTTTCTGTATTGAAGGATATGTTAAAGTTAAAAGCTGCTAAAGGAATTATTGAAGTCTTGGAAATAATGTCCATTGAAATCATCATTTTGGATTTCTTTTTTTTTTTTTTTTTTCATTCATTTGCTTTGTAATTATTTCCTGAGTTTTAGGTGTTCATTTCCTTAAGCATAAGTTTTATTTTATATACACGTAGCCTCTTGGGTGAAGTTAAAACCAGAAGCTTTGCTATAGTCAAGGTTTTCCAGTTCAGAGAACAGTGGGGTGGGGGTGAGGGTGGGACGACAGCAAGATAGTGATCTCTATACTTGAGGAATATTTGACTCTATTGAGAATTTTTAGGTTCAAATTTCATCATAGAAAATTATAACCCTGCCTACAGAACACACAAAACTATACATTGCATCCTGTGAAAATAGGATTGTGTTCATTCAGATGGACTGTTAGGTCATTTCTCTGGATAATCTTTAGGATGGGCTAGTTTTCAGTGACCAGTTGTCACACTGCCATGCTGGAATGGTTGCTTCGATAATGAAAACCTTGCCACTAGTATTTCAAATACTCATGGTTGTCTGTGATGCACAAACTTCAGCCATTTCCGGACAAAGAGAGACTAGGAAGAAGGCTTGGTGATCCCTTCCCCAAACTAGCTATTGCATACATTAACTCTCACTTTAGTTAAGGACCTAATCAGTGGAACTGAGACCCTAAAACTCCTAGAAGAAAACATAAGCTTAAGGTTGTTAGTGTGGCACTTTAGTTTTTAACAACGTATTCTTAGATACCAAAAGGCCCAAGTAACAAAAGACAAAATATATAAATGAAGCAATAACTTAGGATAGAGGAAACCATATATCTGATAATGGGTTTAATTTTCAGAATACAGTGAACCCTCGTTTATCGCGGTTAATCGGTTCTAGACCCTACCGTGATAAATGAAATTCCGCGAAGTAGGATTCCTTATTTGTAAATCAAATATTTTCGTAGTCAGAGCATAGAGGATGAAAAAACACCCTTTAGTCACCATTACACTCGTATTACCCAATTTATTAAACGAAAAAGAGAAAATACAGTAAAACATTTTGGACGTTACAATTATCATTTATTATTTATTATTTATGGCATCAAGCGTGTACAGTATGAGCCAATCAGTGCCAGTAATGACAGAGCATGCGCTGTTACGCAAAAACCGCGATAGAGTGAAGCCGCGGAAGTCGAAGCGCGAAGTGGCGAGGGTTCACTGTATATGAAAAACTCCTACATCTTTAACAACAAAATGCTAAGTAATCCAATTGAAAGATAGAAAAACTGAATATATATTTTCCAAAGAAAATATGAAAATAACCAAACAAGCATGGAAAAATTGCTCAAGACATTTTTCGGTGTAGAGAAGTTTATGCCTTCAACTATTACTGATGGTAATGCATAAGCACTGTAGTTGCTGTGCAAGATGGTTAAGCAGTTTTTCAAACATTTGCTCGTAAAACTATTATATGGCTCAACAACCCACACCTGGGTCTGTGCCTAAATCCTTGAAAACAGGAATGTGAACAAAAACCTGAAAAGCAATGTTTTGTGCATCATTTATAAATATAGGAACAACCTAAATGCCTGTCAACAGGTTAATGAATAAACAAAAAGTGATGGAAAGAATTGTTTTCATGAACTTTTTATGAACATATTAATGGAATATTCTATAGCCATAAGTGGAAAAGAAGTTCTAATCTTGGAAACATGCTGAGGGGCATACTCATAAGTCAGTCAAATGGAAAAATACTGTATGATCTCATTTTTTAAGTCATTTTATTGGGGGCTCCTACAATTCATCACAATCCATATATACATCCATCGTGTCAAGCATATTTTTGTACATTTGTTGCCATCATCCTCAAAACATTTTCCTTCTACTTGAGCCATTGGTATCAGCTCCTTATCATTTCACCTCCCGCCCCCACTCCCCCGCTCTCACTGTTGATAATTTATAAGTCATTATTATTTTGTCATGTCTTATACTATCCTATGTCTCCCTTCACCCACTTTTCTGTTGTCCATCCCCCAGGGAGGAGGTTATATATAGACCCTTGTGATTGATTCCCCCTTTTTACCCCACCTTCCCTCCACCCTCCTGGTATCACCACTCTCACCACTGATACTGAGGGTTCATCTGTCCTGGATTCTCTGTGTTTCCAGTTCCTGTCTGTACCAGTGTACATCCTCTGGTCTAGCTGGATTTGTAAGGTAGAATTGGGACCATGATAATGGTGGTGGTGGGGGGGGGCATTAAAGAACTAGAGGTAAGTTGTATGTTTCATCGTTGCTACACTGCACCCTGACTGGCTCATCTCCCTGTGATCCTTCTGTAAGAGGATGTCCGGTTGCCTACAGATGGGCTTTTGGTCTCCACTCTGCACTCCCCCTCATTCACAAAGATATGATGTTTTGTTCTTTGATGCCTGATACCTGATCCCTTTGACACCCCGTGATCACACAGGCTGTTGTACTTCTTCCATGTGGGCTGGTTGCTTCTCAGCTACATGGCCACTTGTTTACCTTCAAGACTTTAAGACCCCAGACGCTATATCTTTTGATAGCCAGGCACCATCAGCTTTCTTCACCACATTTGCTTATTCACCCGTTTGTCTTCAGTGATTGTGTCGGGAAGGTGAGCATCATAGAATGCCAATTTAATAGAACAAAGTATTCTTGCATTGAGGGAGTACTTGAGTGGAGGCCCAATGTCCATCTGCTACCTTAATACTAAACCTATAAATATATGCACATAGATCTGTTTCCCCATCATCATATATAAATATATTTACATATCTACATGCCTGTGTTTATACTTCTATAAATGTTCTTTGCCTCCTAGCTCTTTCCTCTATTTCCTTTTACTCTCCTCTTGTCCCACTATCATGCTCAGCCTTCATTTAGGTTTCAGTAATTCCTCTCGGTTACATTGCCCTTGAACAAGCCCTACCAGGCCTCCAGGAAACTCTTTGAAGACTATTAAACTTAGCTGAGAGTCATAGGAAACCATGCACAGATGCCCACGGCGGTCTACTGGAATCCAGTAAGCAACCCTGTAGAATCTGCATCTGCAATTGTGAGCAGCTGGAAGAGCAGACAGTCATCAGTGACAATTGAGTGTCCTTTACAAGCAAGTTGTGGTACCGAGAATAGATAAAATACTTGGTGATTTTTTTGTATGATCTCATTTATATGAAATAGACACTAAAGTAATTATCAAGGGTAGGAGGTTGAGGGAAAATGGAAGCTATCGCTTGTCAGGTGCCATCCTGTTGGTCCCAACCTACAGCAACCGTCTTCTTCACAGAACAAATACTCCCCAGTCCTGT